TTCAAACCTCTATTCGAAATCACCTGGAGAAGCTACAGATTGATCAATGATTCCTAAAGAAGGGCTTCACAAGCAGGCGTTTGGTGTCTAACTAATTTATTAACATTCTTTTCATCAGTTTTCGAATCGGTGGACGAGGGGCACAATTATGGTGTGGTATATCTCGACTTTAGCAAAGCTTCGACAGAGTCCCCTACGAAAGACTAATTAGAAAGCAGAAGGCACGGGCATCAAAGGTAATATCTCAAATGGATTAGGCGGTTACAGGACAGGAAACAGCGAGTGAGCATTAACGGCACTAAATCCCCATTGGAGCAACGTCACTAGTGGAGTTCCCAGGCCTAGCATTTCTGACCATTATTATTTATTATATACATAAACGACATAGAGACGTATACAGTAACATAAGTAAATTTGCTGATGACACTAAAATAGGACGTGTTATTAAATCCACGGTGACTCGCCAAAACTACAGGTGAAAGATCTAAAAATTTCCGAATGGTCTGGAAAATGGCAGATGAAATTCAACGACAAATGTAAAGTACTCAGTCTAGGAGATGTAAACAGGGAACCAGTTACCAGATGAACAAATTTATTATTGGAGAAATCTGACTGTGAGAGAGATTTAGGAGTAATGACAGAGAACCTAAGCCATGTGCAATGTGTTTTTAAGCTCGTGAATAAGGCTAGTAAAGCACTTGAATTCATACAAAGGAGTGTTAGTTACAAGACTAGCTAAGTCATCCTAAAACTGGTATCTTGCGCTTGTAGACCACACCTGGATTATGGTAGTTCAGTTCTGGTCACAGACAGAATGGATATAGAATCCTTGGAGAGAATCTTGGAGGAGAATGACAAGACTAATCCAAGGTATTAGGAACCTTGAGTATAGAGACAGTTAAGGCATCTTTAATTTGCACTCTCTAGAGACGAGAGCGAGGGGCGACCTGATAGAGGTGCATAAATGGAAGTCAGGGCTAAAACAAAGGACATTACAAAGGTACTCAAACTTATCCAACCAGGAGGAACCTGCAACAATGGTTTTAAATTAGACAAATTTAGACGAGGCGCCAGCCAGGTAAACGCCGGTTTGGAACAGAGCAGTGGATGAATGGGAACATGTTGCCAAATATCATCATTGGCCTGAATACGCTGGATAGCTTCAAACATAGGTTGGATGCTTATATGAGCAATAGGAGTTGGGTGTAAACGGGACTGCCCAGTATAGGCCAATAAGCCTGCTGTAGTTTCCACCATTCTTATGTTCTTACATCCTATAATGGTTGCCTAGGTGGCCCAAGGCGTGAATTTGTTTAAGGTGTAGAAGCTGTCGCCAACACAATAACCACACCCTAAGTTAACGAGTTACATGACCCAGTGCCAAGGAATAGTCCGAGAAGACCGGACAACTCGCCAACTGCACTGGCTAACCATTACCCCGGAACATAATCCGCAAATCGATTAACATCCAGGTCCCCAGTTACTACTGGGTAGACAGAGGCAAATGGCGTAAAGAAACTTGCCCATAGCTTCATCCTGCAGGGATCGACCCGGGTACGGGTCCGCTCGCTGGCGAGGGGAGCATTCTGACCATTACACCACAGGTCGCCACAGCGTCACACCCTAGAGACAGTATAGCAGACACCCACGCCGCCCCCAACTTCTTCCCTATTAGGTACACCACGCTGCCACCTAGAGGCCACCTGGAGGCCAGATTGAATAGCCCACGTGGAGGCTAGATAGAGGGAGAGGCTACACGGAAACTATGAGAAGGTGGAGGCCAGGTAAATGTAGAGGCTAGGTATAGGTGAGGTAGAGGCCAGGTGAGGTTGAGGAGGGAGGTAATGGTCCTAAACAACCATCAAGGCACCACTATGAGAGCACCTGCTGGGTTGTATGTGTGGGCGGCCCGATAGGGTGGCTACCTCGTGGCCAGATGGGGTGGCTGGGTGTAGCCTCGTGGCCAGATGGGGTGGCTGGGTGGCTACCTCGTGGCCAGATGGGGTGGCTGGGTGGCTACCTCGTGGCCAGATGGGGTGGCTGGGTGGCTGCCTAATGGCCAGATGGGGTGGCTGGTGGCTACCTCGTGGCCAGATGGGGTGTGGGTGGCTGCCTCATGGCCAGATGGGGTGGCTGGGTGGCTACCTCGTGGCCAGATGGGGGTGGCTGGGTGGCTACCTCGTGTGCAGATGGGGTGGCTGGGTGGCTACCTCGTGGCCAGATGGGGTGGCTGGTGGCTGCCTGTGGCCAGATGGGGTGGCTGGGTGGCTATCGTGGCCAGATGGGGTGGCTGGGTGGCACCTCATGGCCAGATGGGGTGGCTGGTGGCTACCTCGGCCAGATGGGGTGTGGGTGGCTACCTCGTGGCCAGATGGGGTGGCTGGTGGCTACCTCGTGGCCAGATGGGGTGGCTGGGTGGCTACCTCGTGGCCAGATGGGGTGGCTGGGTGGCTACCTCGTGGCCAGATGGGGTGGCTGGGGTGGCTACCTCGTGGCCAGATGGGGTGGCTGGGGTGGCTACCTCGTGGCCAGATGGGGTGGCTGGGGTGGCTACCTCGGGGCCAGATGACTTGGCACTCCTACCAGAGACGGGATGACCTTGGGTTAAAAATGTGAGGGTCAAGGAACGAGGAGGAGGAGGAGAGGTCGATACTGTAATGCCTTGTGTTCCTCACCACACACGTCCACCTAACCCACCAACCCAACCAACCCAACCCAACCCAACCAAAAAAGTAATATCTATTTTTCTCACCTCCTGGATACCTCTTAATGATAATACAATATGTAAAAAAAAAACACCTGCCATAGTAAGCATGATAGAACCCTCGACCCTCTTCCTGGAGACACACACACACACACACACACACACACACACACCAAAACACACACTAATTAAGGCTCTAGATCACTTTTCATGTATTAACCAGACCCAAATAAACTTCAATAATATCACCCACAGTCATGATCGCTGTTGTCATAAGGTGTGTGTGTGTGTGTGTGTGTGTGTGAGTCAGGGCTACTGCTTGACATACCTGGCACACACCTGAGACACACACCTAACGTCACATATCACCCAAAAGGTCAAGATATTCATAAACCAGTATAGTTCTTACTACCATTCAGCCACTAATTAAAGCTTTTACCTGTAATTATCAAATGAACGTATATCTAATTAAGGTAGAGTCTCAGTATTAATCTATTAGGATACGTATGTTAAATTTATTTGTATTTTAACCTCAAGTCAACCTGTTAATTGTATTCCAGCATTATCACTTACGAGGAATTTCACCATAAGATTATTTAACAAGGATCTGGACCCATGAAAGATCGTTAAAGAATTTCCCACGAATAAATCAAATGGATTTTTTTTTAGATGTAGAAATTGAGTAAAGGTTGGGATTGAAGGAGAAGGAAAATGGAAGAAGGAAGAAAGAAGTAAAGTAGGAAGAGATGGCAAAAGGTGGTTGGCTCTAGTTTGGTGGGTGGAGTGTCATCGAGGGCGAGGGTAAGCCATCCTGAATATTTTATGGCCTCACCTCCTCCTACTATCCTCACGTTGGCCTCCTTACTAACTCCTCACGTTGGCCTCCTCACTTCCACTACCCTCGTTGGCCTCCTCACTTCACTATCCTCGTTGGCCTCCTCACTTCACTATCCTCACCTTGGCCTCCTCACTTCACTATCCTCACGTTGGCCTCCTCACTTCACTATCTCTCACCTGCCTCCTCACTTCACTATCCTCACCTTGGCTCCTCACTTCCATATCCTCACGTTGGCCTTACAACATAAGAACATAAGAACATAAGGAGACTGCAATAGGCCGGTTGGCCTGTGCATGGCAGCTCCTGTTGAGAGTTACTACCACTCTCTATCATCCATGAATCTATCCAGCCTCCTTTTGAAACTCCAACGTTCCAGCACTTACTACAAAGTTGGTAAGCTTGTTCCTGTCCACCACCCTACCCTCACTTTGGCCTCCTCACATCAAGGGGGGAGAAGAGGGAGAGAATACCTCCCTTTTCCCAAGCTTAAATAAGTGTATCAATAAATAAAAAATAAAATTAACCCCCACCACACACCCCCACACACACACCAGCAGGTACGCAGGAGGTAGATGGTGTCCCTCCCTGGCTCACTCCATCAGGTCGTCTGACAGTGTGTTATAGGGTCTGGCGGGGGGGTATATCAGGAGATCAGCCCTAAGACAAGATGGGAGGAAGGTAAGGGCAGATGTTATGTCACAGGGAGGTACTGTGTAGTCTGCAGTGGTGTGGTGGTGGTGGTGGTGGAGTGAGTGGTGGTGGAGGTACTGTAGTCTACAGGTGGGTGGTGGTGGTGGAGGTGGAGGTACTGTGTAGTCTACAGGTGGTGGTGGGTGGTGGTGGGGAGGCGGTGGTGGTGGTGGTGGTGAGGTAGTGGTGGTGGAGGTACCTGTGTAGTCTACAGGTGGTGGTGTGGTGGTGGAGGAGGTACTGTAGTCTGCAGGTGGTGGTGGTGGTGGAGGTGGTGGGTGGTGGTGGTAGGGGTAGTGGAGGTACTGTGTCTCAGGAGTGTGGTGGTGGTGGTGGTGGTGGTGGTGGTGGTGGTGGGAGGTGGGTGGTGGTGGTGTGGTGGGTGTGGTGGTGAGTGGTGGTGGAGGTGGTGGTGGGGTGGGTGGGTGGTGGGTGGTGGTGGTGGTGGTGGTGGTGGGGTGGTGGTGGTGGGGTGGAGGATTGTGTAGTCTGCAGGTAGTGGTAGTGGTGGTGGTGGTGGTGGTGGTGGTGGTGGTGGTGGTGGTAGTGGTGGGAGGTGGTAGTGTGGGGTAGAGGTGGTGTGGTGGTGGAGGTACTGTAACTACAGGTGGTGGGTGGTAGTGGTGGAGGTAGTGGTGGAGGTGAGGTAGTGGTGGTGGTGGTGGTGGTAATGGTGATAGAAGTAGAATCATTAAGGTGTAAAAGAGAGGAGGACTTGGGGATAAAATTACCACCACATTATCATCCCGAGTAAGAGGAACTCCTTGATTATATGACGGCGTAAGATGAATAGGGCGGTCGCTGGTAAAGGGGCGGTCGACGGTGTAAAGGGGGCGGTCGACGGTGTAAAGGGGGTCGACGGTGTAAAGGGGCGGTCGACGGTGTAAAGGGGCGGTCGACGGTAAAGGCGGTTGACGGTAAAGGGGCGTCGACGGTAAAGGGGCGGTCGTTGTGTAAAGGCGCCGCTGGTGTAAGCGGTCGCTGGTAAAGGGGGCCGTTGTGTAAAGGGGCGGCCGCTGGTGTAAGGGCGGTCGAGGTGGTAAAGGGGCGGTCGCTGTGTAAAGGGGCGGTCGACGGTGTAAAGGGGCGGTCGACGGTAAAGGCCGGTCGCTGTATAGGGGCGGTCGACGGTGTAAAGGGGCGGTCACTGGTATAAAGGGCGGTCGCTGGTGTATAGGGGCGGTCGACGGGTAAAGGGGCGGTCACTGGTATGGGTGCTGGAGCGGCCGCTGGTAAAGGGCGGTCACTGGTAAAGGCGGTCACTGGTGTAAAGGGGCGGTCACTGGTAAAGGGCGCGCGTCTTGTGTAGGGCGGGGCGTACCGGTAAAGGTCACCGGTGGTAAAGGGGCGGTCGACGGTGTAGCGGTCGACGGTGGGGCGGTCACTGGAGGGCGGTCACTGGTAGCGGGCCGCTGGCAAAGGCGGTCACTGGTAAAGGGGCGGTCGCTGGTAAAGGGCGGTCGCTGGTAAAGGCGCGACGGTAAAGGCGTCACTGGGAAGGGGCGGCCGCTGGTGTAAAGGCGGTCGCTGGTAAAGGCGCGCTGGTGTAAAGGCGGTCGCTGGTGTAAAGGGCGGTCGCTGGGTAAAGGGGCGGTCGCTGGTAAAGGGCGGTCGCTGGTAAAGGGGCGGTCGCTGGTGTAAAGGGCGGTCGCTGGTGTAAAGGCGGTCGCTGGGTAAAGGGCGGTCGCTGGTAAAGGCGGTCGACGGTGGGGGCGGTCGCTGGTGTAAAGGCGGTCGGTAAAGGGCGGTCGCTGGTAAAGGGCGGTCGCTGGTGTAAAGGGGCGGTCACTGGTGTAGGGGCGGTCGCTGGTGTAAAGGGCGGTCGCTGGTGTAAAGGGGCGGTCGCTGGTGTAAAGGCGGCTGCTGGTGGGGGCAGCGTCGCTGGAAAGGGCGGTCGACTGTAAAGGGCGGTCACTGGTGTAAAGGCGGCCGCTGGTGTAAAGGGGAGGTCGCTGGTGTAACGGGCGGTCGCTGGTGTAAAGGGAGGTCGCTGGTGTAACGGTGGCCACCTGTATTAGCCCGCCCGCCAGTCTACAGATCTGGCGGGTCCTCTGGTACACTCTGAATATAATTAAAACACAGATCCAATTTCACGCAAGAGTTTACGACTTCTGCTCACACACACACACACACACTCACACCTTTGGCGACAAAATTATATCTGTTTAAAACATATAAGAAAATGTGGATAAAAGAATTAGAAAACTAAGACTTTTTCGTAATTTTCGGCCATTTAATAATAATAATAATAATAATAATAATAATAATAATAATAATAATAATAATAATAATTCAGCGCCATAAGTTCGCAGTGCCACATGTGTTGTAGTGGCATTCCGGCCTTGTCAATATCAGATATTTTTACAACACTATTTATTGACATACCCAGGGAGCAGAGGCACAAGGAGAGAGAGAGAGAGAGAGAGAGAGAGAGAGAGAGAGAGAGAGAGAGAGAGAGAGAGAGTTACAATGCGCAAATGCAGAAAATAACTAATACTACAAAACAAAAACTACCATTACTACTACTATCACAACAACAACCATTACTACTACTATCACAACAACTACCATTACTACTATTATCACAACAACTACCGGATCTAAGACATTAAACCCTACTACTACACTGACATAAACCCACAGCTTCTTCGTTCATCTTCCCGAGTAAAGTAAACCTTAAACCTCACTAAACCCTCCCAAGCGGCTTAAAATCAAGACCTCAAAAACCCATTAAATACTCGTATGCCGCCACGCCCCTGCCTGGGTTAAGACCGCGTGGATCACACACGTGTGGGGTTATTATACCATTCACCGCTACTACATTACTACTACTACTACTACTAATACTACTATAACCACAACCATTACTACTACTACTACAACTACTACTATTATTACTACTACTACTATTACTATCATCACAACCCATGATATTGTCATCACACTACAACTCGCTGCTATGCTCCTCATTAACACCACAGTTCCCACCACCACCCCAGAGTCCTCCACCACAGTCCCTCACCACCACAGTCCTCCCAACACCACCACACAGTCCCTACCACCACCACAGTCCCCACACAGTCCTCCCCCACCACACCCCACACCACCACAGTCCCCACCACCAGAGTACCCCACCACCACAGTCCTCCCCACCACCACAGTCCTCAACACCACCACAGTCCCCACCACCACCACAGTCCCCCACCACCACAAAGTCTCACCACCAAGCCCTCACCACCACAGTTCTCAACACCACCACAGTCTCACCACACGCCCACAGTCCTCCAACCACCACAGTTCTCCCACCACCACAGTCTCTCACAACACTACACAGTCTACAAGTCCCTCACCACACCACCACAGTCCCCTGCTAAGTCCTCCCCAACACCACCACAGTCCTCCCCACCACCACCACCACAGTCCTCCCCACCACCACAGTCCTCCCCAACACCACCGTCTTCCCCAACACCACAGTCCTCCCCACCACCACAGTCCTCCCCACCACCACCACCACAGTCCTCCCCACCACCACAGTCCTCCCCAACACCACCACAGTAGATGTAACTGATCTGTAGGTGTCTTATGACCGACTCAAACCACAGTGGAAGCTGAGGCCTTAAAGGTGAGAGGAGGAGGAAGGGGAGGAGAGAAAGAAGTGCAGTGCTACGAGAGGAGGAGGAGGAGGAGGAGGAGGAGGAGGAGGAGGAGGAGGAGGAGGAGGAAGGAGAATGGGTGAGCGACAGAGGTGGGGAGGAAAATACATGAAGAGGAGGATGATGACGGTATGAAGAGATAACGATGGTGGGAGAGCCAGGAGGAGGAAAGATGATGGAGAGAGGGAGGAAGGAGGAGAGAGAGAGACGGAGTGAGGGGAGGGAGGAAGGGAGAAGAGGGAGGAGGGAGGAGGCGGGAGGGGTGGAGAGGGAGGGAGGGAGGGAGGGAGGATGGAGGAGGAGGGGAGGAAGGGAGGAGGGAGATTAAAGGTGTGTAAGGGTTAATGTATAGAGGTAGCTTTGATAATTGGCAGGGAAGGAAGGAAGGAAGGAAGGAAGGAAGGAGGGAGGGAGGGAGGGAGGGAGGGAGGTTTATGTATACTATAAGGGAGAGCTATTGTATAAACGGCATTAATTCCAGTATTTCCGGCGGCTCACTGTATAAAATTACCATAACCAATTTAAGAGGCGAGTGAAAAAGTTATTCTCAAATGACCATCGGTAGTGGAGATATAACCCAGGTGTAGGGGCGCGCGCGCACACACACACACACACACACACACACACACACACAAAGAACGTGCGCGTTAGGTCGAAGATGTAGAGATTAACCAAGATAAAATGACACGAAAACTACGAAAAATTCTCCTTTTGGCGTAAACTATTTTAATTTGTGACACACTGCAGGCGGAAGTTCTCAACTCTTGTTACACTTGACTAAACTTCGTCACAGTAATTATTGTGTCTTGTGTTGTAATTTTGAGAGGACGTAATGGTGAAGATGGTGTGAGTTCATAGTGCACATACACTGTACAATACATAGAGAGTTGTACAAAGCATCGGACTTTCTTACTTAAATAAAAGTATTGTTATATTGGCAAAATGTTATTCGAGTATAAGTAAAAGTACCCTAGTAGAAGTAAAAGTATCCAAAGTTCAACCTACTTACTGTACAGTGAGTAGAAGTAAACAAGTACCTCATTCACAAAGAACTCAAGGACTCGAGGTAAAGACTAACACCAAATTATTGATCGTCTCAAATAGTAAATACAAAAAATAGTTGACCAGAGACAAGAGACACACATCATTACATCTGCCTATTTGCAACTCTTCCTATTGAGATTAACCAATAACTGATTCTAAAAGTTAAGGCTGTCTAATCAGGATCTTGTATAAGTATAAGCCCAGGATGACTAAACAGAGGCTCACAAGCAGCAGATGGAAGCAGTGGGGTGTTAAGTTTGAGAGATAAGTCACAATGTCAGGAAAGACCTCAGTAGCTCCAATCCATCCCCTGACCATGCCAAGTAGCTATCAAGCTCATTCAGTTGAGCGTTTGTGGATGATTATTGCCTCAGTAGGACAGAACAAGTAAACGGCTTGGTCCAGACATAAAGAAGCGCTTGTGATTGGTCAGCTTCTAAGTTTGTCCTGTGTCCCGCTGTTAGGTATTAAAAACTCTGTTGTTTGGGTCAGGTAACGAGTAACGATTTTTGTTTTTTCAATTGTATTGTAGTAAAGTATTAGAAAACCACACTAAAGTAAAAGTACTGAACATTTTTATTAAAAAAAAGTTAATACCTAAAAAGGTTACCTGAGTACAGTACTCTGGTAAATTTACTTGCTGTAGCGACTTGGCAACTCTGTGAACATATAGTAATGTACAGACAGTGCGTACCCGTGGGAGGAGGGTGCCCCTGGCCTCGCGCCCCCGTGGGAGGAGGGTGCCCCTGGCCTCGCGCCCCCGTGGGAGGAGGGTGCCCCTGGCCTCGCGTACCCGTGGGAGGAGGGTGCCCCTGGCCTCGCGCCCCCGTGGGCGGAGGGTGCCCTCGCCTGCGCCCCCGTGGAGGAGGAGTGGGTGCCCTGGCCTCGCGTGCCCCGTGGAGGAGGGTGCCCGGCCTGCGCCCTCGTGGGAGGAGGGTGCCTGGCCTCGCGCCCCGTGGGAGGAGGGTGCCTGGCCTGCGGCCGTGGGGGAGGGTGCCTGTGCCCCTGGGGAGGTGCCTGGCCTCGCCCCGTGGGAGGAGGCCTGTGGTGCCTCTCTGCGCCCCGTGGTTAAGTGATTATACAGCTCAAAGGCAACACATAGACAAGTGAAAAAAAGCTGTACTGATTGGAAGCATTTTAGTGAAAGAAAATCTCATAAGTCATCAAATGAACTTGTTCAACTTAACCTCAAAGAGAGGTTGTTACAGTGAACATATAGTAATGTAGTGTGGTTGTTAAAGTGAACACACACACACGCGCACACACAACTGGATCAGTCATCATCACGAATCAACAAGACACTGTTAACCTTCATTACGTGACGTACCAGCACACCATGACCTCAAATGACCTCACTACCAAGGACACAGCCTCCCCTTGATAATATATTCAACACACGTGGTATGAAAATGGGACCCATACACCTGGGAGGGACGCAAATTTCCCAAATGTATTATGGCCTCAGCACCGCCACCACCACCACCAGACATTTTGCCTTACAGTGAAGAATAATTTATTTACATGAACCTAACCTAACCTAACCTAACCTAACCTAACCTAACCTAACACTCTGAGCCCATATACATTTGGGAAATATGTGTCCGGGACAGTGTAGGTAAGGCACAGTGAATACTAAACCCAGGAACACAAGGGGCAGTACAGTATGGCCAGAACTGCACTCCACCACCAAGCTTTGTGTTCATACACAGTTGGGTGGACTAGAAGTGCCCCGGGTGCGAACGATCGACCCTTAAGGCTGGTGGAGACGAGCGTTGTATCCACCCGGCCGCCGCACCTCCAAGTGCTTATTGTGTGTTTTCACCTTCATGAATAAAGACGGTGTCCATACTAAGATATTTCTCTTTGTGGATAACGTCACCTTCTGTAGTGAACGTCATCATCCTTTACCTCTGTGCTGGCAGGTTGAGCCGCTTCACACCACATCACCCCGGCTAGCCAGCCTCTCTCACACCTTAATATTCATGAGATTAATTCCTCTTAAAAAAATATCCTCAACACCAACAACAAAAGAAATTAGGATGAAATGGGACAAGTGAATAAGCTTTTGCTGGGTTTTTTCTTTGTAGAGAAAGAGAGGATGAAAGAGGATAAGAGGCGAAGGAAGGAAGTTCGGAAACTGAACAAATTTAGAAGGAGGCGGGCTGACCGCCTAGCTAAGCTAATAGTGTGTTAGGGTTGTATCATGAGTTAGTTATTGTCTGTCGGTACAAGCACTAGACAGCCTACCCTATCCAGTATATGGGTGTTTTGAGGCCCTTATTTCGTATTCCGCCGACCCTACCGGCGGATACTGGTCTAGGAAGGTTGTCTATTGCCTAGCCGTGTAGATCGGGGGTGGTAATG